ATTGAACTTGTTGAGAGAGAAAAAAAACTCATATGATATATCAAAGGTAATTAAAGAATTTGAGTATAGCATAAGTAATTTAAATCAACCGATTTGTGGCCATATTAATTTACTACTATAATTTTTATGGTTTGTATTTAGTTTCATTTTTATTTTTATATATAATTTTAAAAAGTTTCAACTTACAATTTTTGTATGATTTGTTAAATATTTTTTCAATTATGAGATTTTTCTCATGATGTCTTCTTTCCACTTGGGGATGAGTTGACTTTAGTTTATGAAGTGTTCACAAATATTTAAATGAGTTGACTCTAACAAAAGACTTGATGTATTAGGGTTTTAGTTAATYAATTTAACCCACTTGTCCATCTACTATGTATGTGTATATATTTTTGTTCTTCTATCCAATTCAAACTTCAATACCCTCAACCCTAATACAATCAACTATATATTACCTTTCACACATATATATTTACACTACTTAACTCACCTCGATCTTAGTCACGCATAAAAAAGTATGTCTAGTAAGAAAATTAAAAGACGTTCTAGAAGACATATCCCTGTTTTCTCCGATTTGTTTTCCTTAAATAACCTAATTTTTACCCTAACTAAATAAATTTTCTTTTATTGTGAAAGTTGATTCAATAGGATCACAATGATTTTTATTTTTATGAATCCTTTGAAAATTAAATTAAAGAAAACAATAGTAAAAACTATTTTTGAAACAACTCTCATACATGATTAATATGATATATATATAGTTTTAAATACTCTTTCAATCCCGGTAGTTTTTATCTTTGGTTCATTTTAGTGATCATTGTTCTTTCAAAACGTCTATTTTACTCTCTATACTTTCAACTTTTATTTATTTTAATCTTTGTATTTTTTTAAACGTCTGTTTTTTTTTACTTTAAAAAATAACCATTTTGGTCTCTTCATTTTTCTTTTTATTTCGATCAAAATTTTAGCATAGCACTTCAATCACTAAGTTTCTTGAAATGTAGTCATAAATTTATATTAAAAAGTTTATATTGTGTATAAAATTTGTATTAGAATTTTGTAAAAATAAATCAAAAGAGTTACTTTAAGTACAGGAACCAAAACGAACATTTTGAAAGTACAATTACTAAAATGAATTGAAAATCTATAGATTAAAGTAAACATTATACAAGCAAAAAATCTTGTCAAAAGTACAAAAATCAAAATAATATTTAAATCGATGTGTCGTAATAGAGTCCATGTCAACAGTCCCTTTCCCTCTCTTTCTCTAAAAATGACTTCAAACTTTGTGCAGGCCAAATATACTATAATCTAATTTTTATTTCTATTCTAATTCGGCCTCCTTGTTTAAGTTTGGTTTTGAATAGACTAAAGGGATTAAAAAACTTCTTGAATATCGAAAGAATATTGTAGTTAGGATAATCCATAATTAAATTAATGTCATTCTTTATAATTAATTTGTCCAATTTGTATGAGGAATTTAATTTCAAAGGTGACGAATGGAAAGCTTGGACTTTTCTTCTTAATTAATCTCGATTATCGGTCTTCAAACACACTTGTGATTCCGTTTAACATCTTTTTAGTTTGAAAACCTTGTTTTGTTTACCGCTAATTTATTTGTTTCTACATGTATTGTTTAGCCTCGAGGTAGGTCACGAGAGTATTCAACAGTATTTGAAAGACTTAAACAAGAAAAATTCACTCTAAAACTCAAGTCAAGTCAGTAAATTTTGAAGTTTTCTCAATATCAACCACCAATCATACGCATACTAGGATATGATACTAGCTCTAGTATTTATACTATTAGTCACAGGCTGTCGAGGTTTGAGAGGTTATGGGTAAATCTAATTAGAGATTATTTCGTGTAAATTCTATACTTTTCCGTCCTTTTACGTAATTATGATTTCTAAATAGACAATTTATGTACTAATCCATTAACTTTAACTCATCTGGTAACGTTTATCAACTCACCAATTAGAATCACATCATATAACTTATTCTCCACCAATATTAACATTCACTTGGTAGAGAAGTATTATTGAAGAAAAAAAATCTAAACTTAGGAACTAGATTGTGAAAACACCTAAACAACTAAAACATATATTTAAGATTAAGTCTAGTGTGTTCTTCTTCTCTCCACTTTTGCTGCAATTTTGTCAATAAAGAGTTTTCTTATTTTGTTAATTCGACAACATACATTTTAATCGAATTATATAAGTCTTAATGAGTTAAATTATATTCAAATTAACTTTAAAAATATTTTGATGGATATGTCCTTGGGAGAATAGATGAAAAAAAGTTGGTATTTTATTCACTCAAAAGGGATGTCTGGGGATTGATGCAAATTGCAAATCACAACTTCCCATACCAAAAAAAAAAAACAAAAAGGGTACTTGAAAACACACAATCTAGAAAGGAAACAGGGAGAAAGTAAAAGGTAACTCAGATTCAGAACTTCAGAAGGAAAAAATGTTCCTCCCAAATCATCATTACCCACTCCATCTTTCACCTTCAATTTCCTCTTTCCAACCCTAAACTTAAGAATGATCTACAGAGAGAGAGAGATTTGAATTAGCAAATAACACAGGCATTTGGGTCTTCTTCAATGCTTCTATAGCAAATTGGTGGGTACATATTCTGTTGTGCCTTTAAAGCCTTTACAAGCTCTGCAAGTTGTTCTTCTTTCTTCTTTTCCTCTGCCTTTTTTGGATCTTCCTTCTTTGGTTCCTCTTTCTTAGGTGGATCTGGTTTCTCCGGTCCAACTGAAACTATCACTGTGTGGCAAGTTTTCCTTAATTTTCTCACCAGCCCCACTGGATCCACATCCCCTGTTACTGTCAGTTTCTTCTCTTTCATGTCCAGCGAGATTGAGTTCACTCCTGCAACACAAAATTACTTTTCAGAAATGGGTTTCCTTTTGTTCCTCTAGTACAATTCTGGGTTCTTCTTTCAATCCTCAATCAACAAGGGGAAAAGAATTCAGTTGGTGTGGGTTGGACAGAAAAAAAAAATGATGTTTTTTCGTTTCCTCTGGTTTCTCAGAAGCCAAACCGGGGAAGATGACAGAGTTTAAGACATGGGTTTGCTTTTGTTTCTCTTGTAAATAATGGGTTCTTTCAATAACCAATCAAGAAGGAAAGGAAATTTGGATTTGGACAAAATTTTTTATTTCCTCTGTTTTCTCAGAAGCCAAACAAGAGAGAGAGAGAGAGAGAGAGAGAGAGAGAGAGAGAGAGAGAGAGAGAGAGAGAGAGAGAGATTCAATTTAGTACCTGATAGGCTGGAGACAGTGCTCATAGCTTTTTGCTTAGATTTTTCATCATGAACATCCAATTTCAGAATCACTTTCTGCACAAAATCAAGCAAAATGAATATCAGAAAACAGAACGCACAAATCAGAATTCAGAAATTTCACCAAGATCGGCATGTCGTACCGTCATTGCTGGAGAGTCTCGAGCAGAATCGGAGAATTTCTAGAAAGGAAATCTGGATCAGAARGTTTGAAATTTCAGAGGAAGAACCGAAGAAAACAATGAACTGTGAGGAGAACTGCAAAGACTTGGAACCAATTTATAGCGAGAGAGAGAAAGAGAGAGGAAGGTGACGACATGTCGTGACGGAAGGTGAGGTGAAGAGTCAAGAAAAAGAAGGAAGTAGGAAAAARGAGACTTTGATAAACGAAACAGATAAAAAATGAAAATGGTCGGATTTTCCAGGAAAATTCGTACCGAGAAACAAACAGAAGTTAATTCAAATCAAATGCGTGTTCTTTTCTCTCTCTTTTTTCACTTTTMGTCTCTACAATGGCGGCCCTTTGAAGAAAGTCTTGAAAATGTCGAGTCAACTTGCAATTTGGAGGCCAAGTCAATGTACCAGAAACGTTTTTGAGATAAATTAAGAACACAGAATTCTTTTCATTTTTTTCCCCTCATTAATGTGAATAATGAAGCTCTCTAACCAGAAATATAGAGAGAGAATGGTTTTTAGGGGACCACGTTGAATCATTTTTGTTCAAATGGAAGGGCTCCTTCGTAAGCCTTTCGTTTTCATTTTAATCTATTTTCTGTTTTTTAAAAATAATTTTGAAATTATAAGTAAATTTCAAAAATAATAATAATGATAATCTTTTTTTTTTCTTTGACATATTTCTATCTAAGTTTCTTTCTCACTCTACAAATTTCTCCGCCTAAATGTATCTCTCTGAACAAATTATCTCTCTCTCAATTTTTTATCTCTAAACTATATTTACTATTATTTCTCTATCCCTCCAAAATTTTCATGTTTATCTATTTATATTTMTTTCTTTTTTATTTGTAATGTATCACTTTTATTTTCTCTCGATAATATTTTYTCAAATGTTTCTCTCTCCCAATTTTCGTCTATTATAACTTTCTCTTTTTAATCTATTTTTCTTTAATAAATGAGTAATTACAGTGGTTAGTAAAAATAATTCATACATTTCAAAAAATGTCACTAACTTTTCAAAATTTCAAACATAGTAAAATATTTGAATTTTTATTTTCGGAATTTTTATTATTCTGATTTTACTTTTATAATATCTTATATAAATTCAGTATATATCTGTATCTTATATAAATTCAATATACATCCAATGTACCCCTAATATATATTATCAAATGTATGTATTATATCTCTAATATATATATTTGATATAACTCTAATTTAAAATATATTTTCAACTGATATACTAAATATAAGGTATATCAAATGTTTAATTTTTAGTGGTCTATCAGCTGTTTAAATTCTAGTTTACCATTGCAATTTGTTGATTGATATACTATATTATCAATAATATTGATTACTATATCACTGCTATTTATTCTATATTAATGTTAATTAGCTACTAAATATAAGAGATATCAACTGTTTAAATTTATAAAGTATATCAAATTTCGAACTTGTTTTTTTTTTGTCGTGCATGATCCACATAAACCTTTTATACAATAACTTTATATTTAATTTTTTTTGCACTATTGTTTTCATATAAAGAAAAATATTGGATATAATAATATTATATTAACACATCGATATCATAATTATATTAGTAGATATCATGGTTATATCAATGGTAAATTATAAGCATATTAAGTATATATCAAATATATATCAGTGTTATATTAGTGGTAAATCATATAATCATATATAAGAAGTTATATTAGTGGTATATCAATGGTAAATTGGAGACATATCAAGTATATATCATAGATATATAAATGTTGTATCAGCATGATAAATCAATGGTTATCATATGTATATCAGTGGTAAGTAATATTAGAATTTCAGTAGATATCATAGTTATATCAAAAGTAAATCAATTGTATATCATTATTAGATCAGTGATATATAACAGACATATTCAGTAGTAAGATATATCTGTATATCAAATATATTGCAGGGTAAAGTTGTAATTTTAAAATTAGACCTCCGTTTTTTTGGTTGAAAAGAAATGCTATGTTTGAAAAAACTAAATATGGTTGCTATTTTGTTTATTTTACTAAATATTTTTGTCATATTTGCAACTGCTCCAATAAATATATATTCAATTTTTCTCTACCTAAACTTGTTCCGTTTCAATTTTCTTTCACATATCACTTTTATTTCTCATTTTATTTATTTTATGTAACAAATATATTTTGAACTTTTTTGCCTACGTTTTTTCTCATTGTATTTTTTCTTTTTCTTTCTCACAAATTTTGTTTTGACTTCTGTTTGTCAAATTTTCTCYATCTCTAAAATTTCTTTTTATCTCCCTAAACTTTTATTTAGATGGCAAAAATTTCCGCTGGGTTGAGTCATGTTCTAAGAATAAGAAAGACACTTCCTACCATATTCCAATTTCATCCTCGATTCTATTTTTTAAATAATTAATATATGTTAACTGTTTTACTAAATTATGAATGAAATACGAAATATTATTTAAAGTAATTATTTATACTGGTAAATAATAATTTTTTTAGYAAATTATATATATTTATCATTTTTTATTTTTTGAATTCGAAAAGTAATTGAAATTAATTATTAAACTGATAAATTTTCTTGTGAAGAACTTCGGCTCCAAATGAGGATTCTTAGAATTGGAGAATGGGATAGAGACAAGAACTAAAATTTTTCGCAAAGATCCCGAAAACGGGTCGTATCGTCGTATGCTMGAMATTTGTTACCCTAGTTTATATCCCGGAGTATCATATMATTATCRTAACATATATTTTCAACTTTCTAACTTCTAACTTCTTTAGGTTGAATCTGACCCTAACTCAACCAATTATAATATATTTATTAATAACATTTTCAACCAAAACGATTATTTTGTTATCTATTTTTATTTTCATTGTTCTGATACATTACCAAACATATTCTCAATAAAATCTTAAATCCATATTCAATTTTTCAGTTGGCTATAAACTTACTTTGAAAACAATGAATACATATAATACCACTCTTGTTTTTACTGAATCTCTGGTTTCAAGATTACCAACTGAACAAGCCAAATTTTCTAATATATTTGTGATATTCACTTAACTGATTAATTTTGAATATTATACTTTTTACGAAATCATTTGCAAGTAAAAGTTTTTATTTTAATTTAACATTTTAGAGAGAAAAAGGCAAAATATATTAAGGAACACTTTTTTGTTGTGATAAAAAATAGAGAATGAGACACAAAAACAATTGTTAAATATGTTTCTAATTTTTTTTTCCTTACAAAAATAGAACAACAAAAAAAAAAAGAAATAAAGGATATGTTTTATTGGTGATTTGGAAACCAAAATCTAAAAACAAAAATAAAATGAGGTTATAAAATGAAATAATTTATTTATCAGATTTTTTTAATAGTAATTTACATTTTAAATAAAATTTGAAAACACTTAAAAGMATTGTCTTCAAATTTCCTCAATCAAAAAATCCAAAACCAAATTTAAAAAATATACATATTTACTAAATCTATTTGATTCTAAACTGATTTAAAAAATAGTTTATCTAAGGTGCATTCATAAGTGATTAGGCTCCATTCATGGATCATAGATTTTGAATTTTCTCCCTACATTTAGAAGTATGAAGCTTGACATTTTTATATGAGGAAAAAATTTTACCAAATAGTTTATATATATATGTTTTTTCTAAAATTTAAGACAAAATTAGAAGGGGGCATGCAATTGCATACTTGTAAAATAAAAAATAATAAATAATAAAAAAGGTAAAATATATGTTTTGAGTATTTTTTTTCCCCCTTAAATTTGGTACCATATATTTTGACAATTATATCATTTCCTTGTGTAAATGTTAAAATAGGTCCTCTAAAAGATGAAAAATTAAAAATTTCTGCAAATTTCTTAAAAATTGGAGAAGGAATTTGAAAATTTTCTATCTTATATAACTTAATTCCTCCTCTAAAATTTTGTCAACATCAAGTATCATTCATATTAAGTTTACTATCAATCAATTGAAAAATGTCCAAACATAATAAATTAAATTCAAAACTTTTTAACAATAGGAACTACATACTCTTGCTTGAAGGCCTTCTTGATTGAGAATTCAAATAAAGAACCCATTAYTCGAGAAGAGAAAGAAAAAGAAACCCATTTCTGAAAAGTAAATTTGTGTTGCAGGAGTGAACTCAATCTCCATGAACATGAGAGAGAAGAAAATGACAGTAAGAGGGAATGTGGATCCAGTGGGCCTGGTGAACAAACTAAGGAAGATTTGCAACACAGTGATAGTTTCAGTTGAAGAAATCAGGGCCTAAGAAAGAGGAAGATCAGAAAAAGAAGAACAAATTGCAGAGCTGATCAAGGATTTCTTTCATTTTTTTTCCTCTCTAGAGTCAAGGTTGTGTGAATTTTCATTTTCAAGTACCCACTTTTTTTTACCCACAACTCCCCTACTCTTACAACTCTTTATTGAAAAATAATGCATTACAAACATTGTATTAAATTTGCAGGAGTTAACTCAATTTTAAACATTGATTACAAATACAATTGGTTTGGTTTGGACAGAAAAAAAATGATGTTTTTTCTTTTCTTCTGGTTTCTCAGCAGCCAAACAGGACATGGACAGAGGGAAATGACAGATTTTAAGACATGGGTTTGCTTTTGCTTCTCTTGTAAAATAATGGGTTCTTTCAATTATCAATCGAGAAGGRAGGGAGATTTTGATCAAAAGCAGAGATTCAATTGATTACCTGATACGGTGGAGGCAGTGCTCATAGCCGTTTGCTTAGATTTTTCATCCTGAACTTCCAATTTCAGAATCACTTTCTGCACAAAAATGAAGCAAAATAAAGCCAATGAGAATCAGAAATTCAGAATTTGCACCCAAGAAAAAGAAATACAAGAAGATCGACATGTCGTACCGTCATTGCCGGAGAGTCTCTCGAGCAGAATCGAAGAACGCTAATGAGGAAAAAAATTTCAGTTGATCAGAAAGTTTGAAATTTCACAGGAACACGAACAACCAAAGAAATCAATGAACTGTGAGGACTGCAACTGCAAACACTTGGAACCAATTTATAGAGAGAGAGAGAGAGGAAGGTGACGACATG